ATTAGAAAAATTTAAGTTTTAAATCTATTAAAATCCTGTATTAATTTCAGCATTCAGATGATATTAAGTGAAAGCTATATTTACTAATCATAGATAAAAAATAACCAAACACCAATATTTTTAAAAGAATTTTGAATTATTTTTGTGTGCCAATTTTTGTATGGATGACCATGCACAACATTATCAGAAAATAAGAGCAATAACCATAGTAAATTTAAAGCTAACATCTCTAAAAATTCAATAAAACATTAGAGATTATTTTCTTAAATTTTTAAGATTACTCAGTACTTAAAAATTATATAAAAAATGCACTCACGTCAGATTCTTCAATTATGTCTTACAGATAAAGTCTCCATAGAACAACATTAGACCTGTCATCACCACAAGACAGGTTAAAAAATGCATTTCTGTAATATTTTAAACTTAAAATAAATAATATTTGTTTCAAATCAGATTAATTATACTTTAAATCAGCTAATATCCGTCAAAGTTTCAGAAAAGTGTATTATCTTTAGAAGTTTTTTGATAAAGAGAATTATATTGTGATGAAAGACAACTAAAAAAAAGTGCTAATCAGCTATTTTAGCAAAAAAATTAAAAACACCTTCCAGTCAATTTGAATGTGTTTTGGAAATACAGCAAAGTATTTTGCTTATTGGAAATATTAAATTTAATGGCTTGAAATAAAAAGTAAAATAAAATCTTGAGGAAAGATTTTTAATTTTTAACCTTAGGTATCACATTTTTTGTGGAGGTCCCTAAAAACAAAACAATCAAAAGTCAGACACCTACCTAAACATTAACAAAGAGTGCTCTATGTCTAAGTTAACAAGAGAGAGTAATTACGCTTCCCAGCATCATTACTCTGAAAGAGACAGCTTTGAGCAGAACACCTGATGATCACAGTAGTGTGAAATTTAAGTAGTAGTCCAAACTTTGTCTCTTTCTGAGTGTATATAAAATTTATATGATATATTAATTTCTCTTTATTTTTTAATTTCATTTCAGAATCTATAGAAACCCATAAGTTATTGAATTTCAGTATTAAAAAAAAATATGTGCTTCTTTTATTAGCAAAAAAATTTATTCACGATTACTTCTACATATCATGTCTCTTCAGGACATCAACAATCAAGGCTCCCCACAATTTTGTATCCTTTGTAGCTCTTAATAAAGTGTCTTTTTTGCTATCCTTCCTAATCCCTGTTCTGCTAACCATTTCAACAAGCTCATTAGGTAGGATATTCACTGATCTCTATCCCTCCTGACTTCAATATGTCCAGTGAGTGTCAAATTTTCTAAGGCTTCTTTTCTCATTATGCACCTAGAAATTTCAATTGTCTCTTTCTGATGCTAAGTATAAGTGTCAATGCTAACATGTTCAGTCTATGGTATCCTCAGCATCATTCTGTAGAACCAAATTTCTGTTGCTGCAAGTTTCTTCTTCCTTAGATTTTCCAGTATACACTGCCATATAGTAGGACCTATTTAACAGTGCAGTACTCTTTTCTTTGTAATGAAATTTTCCTGTTTCTTAATACTTTGCTTTTGGAAGGCAATTTACACTATCCCAATGTGCCTGGAAAATAATTTTTCTTTATTGAGTTGAAGTTTGTCTGTGGAATTAAGCTTTGATACAATCATGTATAATTAAATAGGATAGCTATGGGCAGTCCTTTGGGGCCAACAATGGCAAATATATTTGTTAGTGTTAACAAGCATGATTTTCTTGCACATATTAAAGGATCCAATTATTATATTAGATATGTCAATGACATTTTTGTGTATTCAATAATGAGGTTGGCGTTTGTGTATATCATCAAACACTTAATACAGTATACTCAACTTTACACATTATTGTGAAAAGGAGAGTGATGGTGATTTTTTTTTTCATTTCTTGATGTCCTGTCACACAGATTGGATACAGTGTTTCTCACATTAGTGTACTGAAAAGCAGCTTTCACAGGCTCATTTTACCCATTGGGATTCTTTTTGTTCAAAACAGTCAAAGTTCAACCTGATTAAGTATACTTTTGTTTCTTAAATGAACTTAGTAACAAAATTAAATTCAGAAAATGAATCTATTATGAAAGTTCTGAATGAAAATGGATACCCGTTGGATATGGGGGGGGGGGTCAGCATTTGAGACAAAAAAAAAAATTACAATTTCTTAAGCCTAAGCCAATTGACCTTTCAGAAATATTCTGTCTATTTGCACATATTGTGGATAGGTAATGTAAATTCTAGGTTTGATAGGCAGATTTCTGTAGGTGGGGAAAACTGTTGTCGGTCTGCCAATGTATGCATTATCTTTCCTGCCTGACCAATGTCGGGATCAATTTGAAAGGATATTCTACCCACCCACCATCATATCAGTTTGGCAATTTACCAATTCAAATGTCAATGTGAAATTGATGCGTAGGTAGAATGGGTCAAAGGATCAATCAGCATATACCAGACAATATTCACAAAGTCAAGCTTGACAATTTACACGTGTGTTAAAAAAATGATTCAATGCTCACTGAATATTCATTAAAAATCCATAAAGAAACCCAGTCTTATAATGAAGACATTTTATCAGTACAGAGAAATGCTAACTTTGAATTTTACTTGATGGTGTTGGAATCTATTTATATTAAGTTCTACCAGTCATCTCTTTGTAAGCAGAAGGAGTGGTTATTAGGTTTAAATGTAATTAACCTTTAATTTTTAAATATTTATTATACAACATCTGGTCTTTGGAATGCCAAATCAGGATTGATTACATTACAGAACTTTCTTTGAATTTTGTCAAAGACTCAAGATATACAGCAGGAGCACCAGACCAGATATAGCAGCAATATTCAATGCACAGATGAATGGTAGATTTATAAATGAGTAAGATAGATTCTGATGAGAAAAATTTTCTGGCACAACACAGTGAACCAACTTTCCTAGGATTGGATGTAGCAATCGATTCAATATAGTCACTCAACTTCATGTCATTAGAAAGCATGAACCCAAAAAAGCATGCAGTGCTGCTCTCCTTGAGTTTAGCCTCAACCATGTTGATGGCAGGTAGAAAAGATTCTCTGTGGTGAATAAATGAAAGCAGTTTTGTTTTGGAGGTATTAAAATTTACAAGTCATTTCTTGTCCCAGTTAACCACCGATTGGTGGTACTTTTTGAGAGCAGTTACCAGTTTTATTTCATCCAATCTATCAGACTTGCCACTAAGACAGGAGTAAATAGCTGTCATCTACATAAATACCTAGTTGGGAACTAATTACATTTGGAAGGTCATTGATGAAGATCAGAAATGGTGTAGACAAATTCAGTGATGGCTGTAAACTTATCAGCAATAAACCTGGTGAAATTCAAGCCATATTCTTGTCTGAAGATGCTTAACCAATTGAGTAGAGTCTCAAGTACTTAGCAAAAAAGGGGTAAGAAACTAATAGAATGATAATTTGAGAGGTCCAGGGTTCCCCAGAGTTCTTAAAAACAGAAACTATACAGGAGGACTTTCAATGAGCTGGAAAGCAAGAAGCAATGAGGCATTTGTTGTAAAAGTTTGGAGAAAATGAGAGCCAGTTCAGAAGCACATTTCTTCAGGATCACAGCAGGAATACCAGTGAAACAACATGCCTTGTGGGGATGTATTTTAAAAATTGTTTGTTTGTTTTATGGCACATCAACCTCAACAGTTTAGAAATGATAACAAATCAAGGATGGAGTTATGTGCATATCATTTGGTGGAGTCTTCATTCTAGGAGGAAAGTCATGCAGATATACTCCATAGGAGCTGAGAGAGAGAGAGAGAGAGAGTAGGAAGAGAATTTCCAAGCAAAGCACCCTGCTTTATCTGCAGTATATATCAATACTTCAAACTGATTAAAGAGAAGAGGGACTGACAATATTTTTTGTTCAGCACATTTTTATGCCCATTTATCACTTTATATATTGACAACTTGACTGATGACATCTCTTTTAGTTCTTTTCCAGCTTTTTATAGGCTGCATAAAGAAAGCCCAGACCTTTTGGCAGAGCATTATATTGTCAACAGACAATACATTTTTTTTTTTTTAAGTGATTTCTTTTTCTCATAACAAGACCACTGGCAATCTTAACAAGGGAAAATAATATAACTTGACACAGCTTTACTTTCTTTAATTTATAACCATTTTTAATTAAATTATATCTTCCTATTGATTGGATTGTTCAAGCACATGTGTACACATTCCTTCAACTGGTTCTTCTCAGAATGAAAGTCGCTAATTAGAAAAGAACATTCTTTAGGTTTAAGACTGTAAAATGAAAACTGTATAAATTTAATTGGATAAAAATGCTGATTCTGTAGAAATTAAAAGTTCAATTCTTGGGTCAAGTAACACTGAAACATACTCCAGTATCATAGAGAAAAAAAAAACTGATAACTAAAAATCCAAATTTTACAGGAATAAAAACAATATACTCTGTGGATGAAATATTGATTTGAATGAATCAATTTGTAATATAAATAAAACTTGATCTGAGAAATTCATTTATTCAAATTATAATGCTATCTACTCAGGAATGTTAGACAGTGCACACATCAACTTTAGTTAAAGTTTATACAATCAACCCAAATCCCAAAAGAAAAAATGAAAATATATTAAAAAGAGAGAAATACATGTTGAAAATTGTATTTATAAATTGAATGTAACTTCAAAATTTAAAACTTTATATGGAATATCAATTTATTAGTTTAAGTTTATAATTAAAATATATAATCAACATTGGTGTGTATACATGATCTCTTATACTGTAAATTTGATGTGTCACATCAAACAGGAAAATGGAGATTTCATAAGAGATATTAACTTTGAAAGGAGAGAATTGTAAAAAAAAGTTTTTTTAAATAAAAATAAATGAATAAAAAACAGAAATGGTTTTGAACGAGAATAAGTCTTATCAGATTTGTGAAATGACGCAAAGCACTGAATATTTAAAGAAAATAAAGAATAAAATGAATAACGTACCTGGCTAAATGCCACTTTTTCTTGTACTCTATTTTTGGAATCATATTGTTTTTAAGTGTGCATCTATTTCATTCCAGCACCAGTCTGTAGAAAAAAATAAAAATTTGGTTCAGGCACTTAGTAAATAAAAGACATGAAAAGACATTCAGTTAAAATTTGGGGACAATAAAATCTCTCAATTGCTTTACTTTGAAAGAATAAGGTTCCTGAAATTCTATATTCAGATTTGTAATGGATATAACTATTTGACAAGTCAAACAGAAAATTAAGAGTTTTATTTCATATATTTTGTTATTAACAAAAAGGGAGCTGCTGCCTTTGAATCCTTAATAAATAAGAGTACTAGAATTAAATTGGATTTTTTTCTCTTTCACATGAACAAGCAGTGGTACCATGTAAACAAGAGAATGAAATATATTTGGGTGAGCATGTGTGCTTGGGGGTGTGAGGGCAGCAATAATCCAGCTGCAGCAGTTATGCCAACAATATCACGCCCTAGAACACAGGAAAAGCAGTAACCAACTATTTGGGGTTGAAAGAACTAAATATAGCTTTTGAGATCAGTGTATACAAAAAAAAAAAATAAATAATCTGTCCTACATGTAGAGCTCATCAGTAAAGAAAGAACACCTGACAAAATGCTGGGGTTACTTATGTTAAAATATAACAGATGAAGTAAAAGAATAATTTAGGCAAAATAAAGGTTGTCATGAGGAAACTTATAATGGCTACCAATAAAGTCATTAATGCAGGTTATTTTATTGTCTTTTCTTAGAACTTTAGAGCCTTTACAAATGTACATGTATTGTTATTTTTCAGACCTGTTCTCTGCAGTTCTGAGATAAGAGCCTTTCATCATTCCGCACAATTTTTCTACGAGTATCTTCATCTTTGGTATTTATTTTATTAGTTTTAATTTCCTTTGAATTTTAAGACACATATCCCAAATAATTTGATCACAAAGGTTTGAATGTTATTGTACAAAGACTCTGTAATGTTACTGGTTCTGACCTTGTATCTCAGTTTCAATCACTTTCCAACAACAGTAATATAACTTGCCTGTGGCTTTTCTATAAATATTTTCATAACAATTATACTGATGAGCTTTCCTCTTTGGTACTGTGACTTCATGAATTTAAAGGTAGTACTAGATTGGCAGTTAGGTCTCATCCTTTTACTGTTGAAATTGCAAAGTGTAAGCATAAGTTTGAATTTGAATTTCTTCTCTTGCATTTCCCACCATTGAAGCTATTCTTTCTTGTCAACTACAAACTTTCAAAATGTCAATGCACAATCAATTGTCATCATCTGTGCTCTTGAATCCTGTTCTTTTTATTGTTGTTTCTCTTCAGTAGCATTGTCTCAGTTTCTTTCAATCTTGCTAACTCCTTCTGTTATAGTGGCTTTATCACTTTGCTGAAAAAAGTCCTAGTTTGAGCAAAACTATCTCAGTTCAATGGGTCTGTTCTGGCATTCCACAAGAGGTTAAGCCATCAGTATTCATTTTTTTTTTTTTTACATATCAACTTTGAATCTAAGGAGTATTAGATCATGAAAACACTATTATACAAAAAAAACCTATAATCAAAATTGAAAACTGCTCCCAGTTTGAGGCTTAAAAATTATGGTCTTACATATTTATGTCTACCATTCATCCATGCTTAGAATATTACTTCCACATATGGTCCAATGCTCCTGCTCTATATTTAGAGATTCTTCATAAAATTCCAAGAAGAATCAGCAATACTTAGCATCTTGACTTCAGTCACTTTCCCACCACCATAAAGTTGCCTCCCTGTGCCTTTTCTATAAATACTTTCATGGTAATTGTTCAGATGAGATATTCGCTTTGGTGCCTAGACTTTATGAATTTAAGCACAGTACTAGACTCGCAATACAATCTCATCAATTTAGTTGAGTTGGCTAGTTATAATTGTAAGTTCTATGCTAAGTTCCTTTACTCACACTTCTCCCTTGTGGAACACCCTTCTGGTTCCATACTTTCCAGTCAATCTTAAATACAATATCAATCACTATCTACTGTCCTCCTAATTACTAATGTTTCTGTTTACTAATTCTTTCATACCTAGTAACCCCTTGTGATTTAGTGGCTTTACTGCCTTGCTTGGGGTTAATTGGATAAAAAAAATGTACAAATAACTGAATCATTTTATGAAGTATTACGATCCATACACAGATATAAATCATATAGTTTGTTATTTTAAGTGATTTATTTCTGAAACTGATAACTACACATTCAAGTCAAACAAATATATAGAAAATAAGTAAACACAAAGGCAATGTAATTCTCACTGCCAGTAAAATTCTTGGATTTTTCAAAATGTGATCTAATGGTTTCAAAATATGGTTAATAAGAAATTGATCAGGTTAACAACAACATTTATTCAAGCATGTATCATTATTTTGACAATATAATTAAGTAAAAAAAAAAAAAAAATGTAAAATATTCTCCTTCACCAGTAAATATTCTTTTGAAATTTGTTCAGTCCAAATAGCAATGCTAAAACTTGGATTAATTATATTCCCTATCAAACAAGTTCCCAAAGAAGCAAACTTGAAAACAACCTTGAAAGAGCAAGGTCAGCTGCAAACAAGGCACTTGTTGCAAATAAATAGTCATGGACCCAAATTTCAGCAGCTTACTTGTGTTGGTTGCATTCATCCTCTTAAAATAACTACATAGCCCTCCCCAATAACTTTCTAGCAAAGGAGGGCTGCTTTTAGCTCCTATTAGCCCTCTGCTTGCTAGTGTAGGCAGACTGATCAGTGTCCAAGTTTCTGGCAGAGTGCTACAACCCAGCAAGGCTGCCAATTATTTTGGATCTTTTTAACCATCAAACCCAACTTCAGAGAGTCAAGACAGCAAGAATGATGGAGTGTGCAACCTTTTTTTTTTTTTCTTCTTTTAATTTATACTTACCTTCCACCTTTCATCTTTGTTTTATTATCTCATCCATTCAACTGTACTCCTGCAGGAAGGAAAGTATGAATGATGAAGTGAAAGCTGCAATTTTTTTTTGTCTCTTATACACATGATAGTAATGGTGTGTTAGTTGTAGGATGCTGGTACAACTTTTAAGATAGCAACATCTGCAGAACTATTTAGAAACTGTCTTGGGTATTTCCCTGGACTGACATTGGAAAAGGTAATCTAAAAATTGTCCATTCTTTTTTGTAGACAACAGAATCTATCACAACAAAAACCACTGCCACACTAAATAAGGAGTTTATCACATGTAACTGCTCCCTGTAATACAGTTTGTTAAATTAGAGCAAAAGTAACTCAATATTGTCATTGTCAGTGACACTGTTAGCAGCAGAAACACAGAAGACTCTGTAAACTACATAATTTCTGGAATAATCTATAGTAACAGCTTCACTATCAAAGTAACACTTTAAATGACTTCTTAAATTATTTACACTATTTACATTGTTTAAAATGTTGTCCTCATCTTTATTGTCATATTCATGTTTATAATATAGACAGATGTTGAAGGATCGGTACTCTCTAAAATAGTATTAATTTAAACTTTAAGAATGCCATGTGTTTCCAGATTGTTCTAATCTTTATCTCAAAAGTAATACTAAAAAATATCATCTGTATTGTTACACATAATATAATTATTCTATCATTATCTATAGTTAGACTAATGTCCTCATCTTTATTGTTATTATCACACTGTTTCAGCCATTATGACTCCTAGCTTTCTTTAAGTGTTTGTCAATCTGGGTAACCTTCAGGCAGAAACAATTACCACCCATCGTCTGATTCACACTCCTCCCCAGTTATTTGAACAAGAGTAGAGGTTTATCCCTTCTTTCCTGTTTAGGATTGGGTTTTCAGTTCCTTCTAAAGTCCTTTTCATTATCTCTCACTCCTAAAGCCCCTTGCATATTAGTGGCATTACCACTTTGCTTGAGGTGAATTGATTGAAAAAAATAAATAATATATATATATATATATATATATATATATCTCCTATTTGGAGAATTCATAACTAAGTTCAGTACTAACTATATTACTTGGAATATTATTATTAGTAGACAGAAGATTGGTAATTAAAATAACAATGCTCTCCAAAGAGTAAACCTCTAAATTTCCTTTGATCTTATTTCAACCAATGCCAGTAGTTCTAATTAAAACTTAAATGCATCCAGGATTTATACTTCAGTTTATCCTTAGTTGATCTTGCAGATGTTATATATTTGGCATGGCATTTTGTGGTTCAGAGTTCAAAACAGATTATTACCTTGTCAGATTTATAATAAACAGTCTTGAAGGAGTGGGAGGGACAAGGATCAAACACAAACTTTTGTGAGAGACTGAAAAGCTGAGTAGTAAAAAGCATTCATGAAAAGTCTAAAATAGAAATAAGAATCAGATGCCACAGTTTCTCTGCAACAAAACACAAGTCTATTATCTCAATCTCATAGTAAGAGAAAACTTGTAAAGTCAAATGATATTCACTTAAGTTGATTTATTTATCACTTTTTTTAATCCAGAATAAAAAGACATAGAGAAATGGCTTATGATTTTAGATTCATAGCAATGTAGAACACTGTTCATTTTATACAGAATAGGATGCTTCTTATTTTACTGATTAACTAATGTGTGTTAAAAATTAACATTAGTTCACACCAAACAAGCTTAAAATACTTCTAAACTGAATGACCTGGAATGGCAAAAACAAGTTTTAAATACTGAGAGAATATACATTTACATAAAATGTATAAAACTTGTGAATTTAACAAGAACACGATAAATACCAATGATAAGTGTTCTAGAAAAAATATGTTCCAATTTCTCATTTAAGATATTTTTAGTAGTGATGTAATAGTCAACTTTTTATTCCAACAGTTCACATTTTTACTTGAAGATTATTTCAGTTAATTGGGGAAAGTCAATGATTTTATGTTATAGATAGGTAACAGAAACATTTGAAGATAAATAATTTACATCTGTTGTCATTTACATCTGTAGTCCATGCTTAATGTTTCTATGATCTGGTCACTTTTTTTTTTTTTTTTTTGTAGGATACTTACAAAATAAGAAATTTAATAAA